TTTAGAACTTACTTGCATTAATTTTTTTGTGAAGTGTAAAGTGTATTTTAGGCTTTAAGGTGTATAAATGTGATTTAGGTTATCTAGAGTAGAGCTAAAATACTAGTGCAAGTAAAAAATGATTATGACATGTGATTGTTATGGATTATATGATGAAATGTGTGGTTTAGCTCCCCCTTCTATGTTTGATATTAAGGAGTTGAGCATTGAAAATATGATTTATAAGTGTTATGTGTGTTGTAATGCATTGCATAGGTTTATTTTCAATCTATTGTATGTAGTTTGAGTGGTGTTTATGGCTTTTGGCTTGAGAAATGCAGTTTGGACACTTTGTTTTATAAAAAGCAATGCAAAAGTACAAGTTTGAAAATGATTGTCTAATTTTTGAATGAGTAATAATTTGTGTGTGAAACCAAGCCATGAGTTAGAGCTTAGAAAATTTTTTTCATAGACACTTAGTTCGCATTAATTGAATGTTGGATAAAGAAATGAGGCGCTTCAAAAGTTGCCCTTGAAGTTGTCATGAAATGTGTAATGTGCCGTGACGCATTATGTAATGAGTCACGGTACATAGCATAGAGACTCACAAGCCACAATGCTAGTCTAATAAGCTATGGCACATGCCTTTGAAATTGCAAAATTCTACTATTTTTTAATTTTAAGCAAATTGATCTTTTAAATGATCATATGCTTCTATATAATATTTAAACTTTGATTTGTCAATGGTAAAAATTTTGAGATAGATTAAACTTTGAAAACTTTTGATCTCATGTTTATAACCTATTTGTGTCCTTGGTAACTTTGTCTTTACCTTAAGTCAGTCTCTTAATTAATTGAAATTGTGAGTTAATTAGGAAATAGTAAGTGAGGAGATTACAATGGGTAGTGAATTTAGGGTGTTGATGGAATAAGGATGTGAAGTTAATTGTTGAGAAATTTACTCATAAGAGGATATTGACCAATGACCTTGTGGAACGATTGTAGACTATTAAGTTGGAACCATTTGAGCTTGGAAAGAAGCTTGGGAAGTTAGTATTATGAGGGATAAACATTTGACCTCTCAAAGATTTAAGATAATTAATCAAGGAAAATCTATAGTTGTATGTTAATTAGCTATTTGTTGAAATTTATTATTTTAAGCTTATTTGATACGTGAAAACTATTTATGCAACTTTGGCAATATGATGAGTTTGGGAAGTGGTTTTGGAAATGGAAAACCTCTTTGCATGTTACATGTTTAAACATAATGATTAAGATTAATGACATGATATTGTGAAATTGAAGAAAATGTGATATTTGATGCTTAGAGTGTGATGAATGTGTGAGTGTGTGTATGTGCATAAATTGTGTTTAAATGACATTGAATGTCAAAATGTGCATAATTATGTGAAAATGACATTGAGTGTTAAGATATAGGGTGAGGAGTTTCGCTTAGGAAAAGGAGTAGATTGACATTGAGTGTCAAAATGACATAGCAAGATTATTGGCAGGAGTTTTGCTTAGGGAGAGGAGTAGACTGACAAACCCACGTGGTATTGGTAGCTTATCGTTGGAATTGAAAGCTTGCTTAAGCACCAACTGTTGGAATTAGGAGGTAGTCTTTGTCCCATAGTTGATTTAGGACTATCCTACTTATTCTATAAGGGACTTGAACCTAACTAGTCTCCACCAGTTCACGAGGAGGTTAGATTAGGGGTACGATATCTCATAGTTGTTAGTATTAGGAAAAACTACAGTATACAAGTGAGTGAGTTGACCTTGGCCTGGTAGCCCCTTGTAAGTGGAAGGCTAGGTTGGTTTGTGATGGATGTAACCATTAAATAGCCACCAGTTTCATATTGAATGTAAAAGAAGGATATAAGGCTGGCATTTTATCATGTATTTAGCTCTAACCACATGATTGTTATTATTATGGTTTGACATGTGTTAGGGGTGTATGGTTATTAGTTTTGTGACTCCAAAATGTGCATAACTATTAATATGATGATAAAATGTGTTTTATGCCCAGTTGCATAGTTGTTATTGTTGTGATCGTGGCTATAATCATCACATATGAGTTATATGTGTGTTATTTGCCATTTGCATATGTTTTTTTTATTGATATACAATTGTATAGATTAGGTAGAACTTGGTTATTAAATTGTTAAACTTACCCCTCAATTCTTAATATTTTTAAGGCTTAGCTCATCAGATCTAAGTCGGGGGAAACGTGCTAAGGCATAGGATTATAATGTAAATCCTATTATATGTCTCTTTATATTGATTTATGTGTATTTAATATTGCTAATTTGCCAACTAGATCATTTGTCATTGTTTTGAACTACTTGCATTATTATTGTGTACAACTTGTGTATTTTGTTCCCTGAGTCAATGAGTTGTAGTTATAAATCTTGTATAGGGCTAAAATACTTGTGCAAGTAGTGTTATGTGTATTTTGAAATGTTTTGAAATGAAATGGATGGTTGGTACAAAGTTCTCCTCCCCTTTATGTTTTATGAAATTTAAGGTTGAGTGGTGTATTTGTATTATATGTGTATTCATGTGGTTGTGGTATGTTGCACGAGTCCTATAGGGTTCATTGAGTGTGGTCAGATGGTTGGCGTAGGTTTTTGACACTTGTATGTAAGTTAAGACACCCTTGTGATAATTTTTTTGTGAAAAAGTGATGAAAATGGGTATGGGTGTCTAACTCTCTGTATAAAATGAATTTGAGTATGAAACTTATGCCATTAGAAGAAAGCTCTCTGTAGACACCAAAACCACATCAATCGGACGTAGGTGAAGATTTGAGATGTGTTAAAAGTTTGCTTCTAATGCTATCATATGGCAGCAAAAGTTTGTTGTCAAATATTGTGCAATGCATTGCAGCGCATGGCACCTCATACCGTGGCGCATGGTACTGAGACTTATGAGCTGCGGTACACTAGCACTTAGTTGCGACACATGTGCCATTTTTTTGTAGTTTTCATTGTTTTGGTGATTTTATACAAATGCTTTGGTTTTCTTAATTTACATGCTTCCGTACTGATTTAAAACTATGATTTTGAACATAATACATGTGAGTGGAAGTACTTTAAATGTTGAAAACCTTATCCCAATGCCATTGTTAAAATTTTTTCTTCCATTTGCAAATTGTAAAAAGTTGATAATCCTTATTGGGTTTAGTTCCTTGATTTCCTTGAAGTTGATAAATGACTATGTTTAAGTAAGGGCAATATTACAACTTACTTCTAGTGTTTAGAAATACCAAAAAAATCCCAAGGTTTCAATCCTTCAAGCCTTACCAGAGGTTTCCACAAGCCTAGTAGTTCCTTTTTTGCTTCACCTCTGTTTTCTATCAATTTCATGACTTTAATTTTATATGTGGTACAGAGAGGGGATTCCTGTGTTCTTATGGCCCGTGCACCATGACATCTCATGCACGTGCTACGGCATCTAGAACAAAGTTATTTTTTTTTATTTTTCTCACTTTTTAATGTTTAACTGGCCCAATCTTACTTTGAAATCAATCCTAAAGCTAAAACCAAAACTTATAATATCCATTAGCTCTTTATAACCACATGCCATATCAATTTACTTATTTAACTTTATTTATTTAATTAACTAGAAATTATATTTTTCATGATGTTATAAAGATGATTAAATTTTTAGGGTTTGAGTTTGACACTTTCCATAAATTCTTCAGAATTTAAGGGGCCCCGTATCATCATAAGACTTTTTCCATGTGAGTTCACAATCGCCTCCTTAATCAACGCACATCTTCCAAAAATCCAATCCCCAAAATGTGCTTTTTTCTCCCGCTGGACGCTGCACGACACATTCTTGCCGTCTTCTTGCAGTGACTTTAATGCTGTTATTTTCTTACATCACTAAAACTTGTTTAGAAACATCGTATTTGTTGTTTCATTCCACGCACACATATTTTAATTAATATAGTTTATATTGAATAAGAAGGCTTAATGCCACCTATCTGTCTACTATTTATGCCTAAAAATAATTTACTATTTTTACTATATTAGGCACTCGCAATTGTTCCATGAAAATTATTAATATTTACTAGTACATATGATAAAAATAAGATGGAGCTCAATAATTAAACCTACAAAAATATTTTTTTATTTACAAAATCTATTAGATGCTTATAAATACTGAGTATAATTTACTTTGGGAACAAAATGAAATTGATACAATAAATAAGAATTTGACAACAATGAAATTCTCTGGACAGATATTTTCTCGCATGAAGTCGCTGGTTCTATATATATATATATATATATATTTGTGCAAATATTGTAGCAATAAATAATGGGATCAATATTGAACGGGGGACAAAAATAGCAACGGCCAGCATGGAAAGTTGAATGAACATTATACTCAAAGCAAGGTTTGAAAAACAAAAGTTTGGTGCGAATAATTTCCTCATTCCTCAATGGCACACGAATCAGAACAACCCCATCAAAAAACATGGCACAAGGAATTATGACCAAATATCGGGCAGAAATAACAGAAAAATATTAATATTAAAATGTCCTTGTTTTTCATCATATAATTTAAAAGTTTTTGTAGATATAATCATGTTATTGAAACAAACACACTAAATAATTTAATATTTATTATATTTTATATTATGATCGATTTATTATATCCGTTAATGATATATTATTATATATCAATAATAAATTCACAATAAATTTTTAAATTTTTAATAATAAACTTTTTACATATCAATAATAATTTTTTTTATATATTAATATAAACTTGTCATATTTTTAAATTTTTAACAATTTGATCTATAGTTTTTAGGCATAAGTTTTTTTATTCCCTGGCTAGTGGGCCAATTCATATTATAATAATTTGTCACACTCCTATTGAACAAAAAACATAAATAATAATTAGACAACATCCAGTTTATATCACATATTCTCGGGGCAACAAAAGAGAGCAACAAGCTTGGAGGTCCCCACCGTCACTTTTGTTGTAGTTGGACTTGGTTGGTTGAATTTATTTATTTATTTAAAATAAAAATAAATTAAAATGGAAGCTTCAAATCAAAGGTGTGAGCTGTGAACGCATGAAGCTGCTCCTGATTTCTGAACGAAACGCTCTCTCTTTCTTCTGGTACTGGTTCAATTCAATTCCATTCCATTTCCATCCCATTAAACCACTTCCTTATCTTGCGTCTCTCTGCGTCCTTCACTTTTCTCACATAATCACACACAGATTCTGCCACCATCTTCAGCACTGCAATTGCCTTTCTGTTTTGCGTTTTTGAGACGCCTTCTTTGATTCACTCCTATATTCTTTCGCTACTATGTCGGCGTCCCCGTCTCCCGGAGCTGCTCCTGCCCCCACATCGCCGCCGGCAAATAACACAACTCCTCCTCCTCCTCCTCCGTCCAATAACAGTACCTCTACTCCTCCACCTCCTGCCAACTCTACTGCACCACCTCCTGCTAGTCCTTCGCCTCCGCCTTCAGCCACGCCCACTCCCAGCCCTCCGTCTCCTTCGCCGCCACCGCCGCCTCCTTCTAGTACCAATTCTCCACCGCCTCCCGTGACTCGGACCTCCCCTCCTCCTCCTTCCAGTTCAGGCACGCCTTCAACTCCGGCTGGAAGCCCGCCGCCTCCGCCTTCATCCCCTTCTTCATCGTCGACTATATCCACTGGTGTTGTTGTTGGAATCGCCCTTGGTGCTGTAGCGATTCTTCTAATTTTAAGCTTTGTATGCGTATGTTGTTTGAGGAAGAAGAAGAGAACAAGTAATGCGGGATACTATCCGCCACCGCGGGGACCAAAAGGTGAGAGATTGAATTTGAGTGAAGTTTAACATGTTGTACCTCACGTTTTGACGAGAATGACCCCGTTTTTGTTTGGAATTCATTATTGACGTTATTCATTTTGAAAATAGATTTACCGAACAGTGTTTGTTCCTTGTGGCCATGCTCCCCCCCACTTTTTTTCCCACACCTATCTTTTTTGTGATCCTCTGTCGATCTGATCACAAGTCATTTTGATAGAACATATCTTTTGTTCCTCATAAGAATTTGCATGTTGATGTATTAAAATTCTCTGACTTGAACTATGATATTCCTGCATGCGACCTTCTTTTGATTATGGAACTACAAGTGGATCCATGATTTTCCAGAACAGCTCTTAATCGCTACGCTCATGTTTTACAAGGCATATTGGATTAGGCTTAACTGCTATTTTAATTTGGGAAGATAAATTATTCTTACCATACAGAAAGGGCTCTTTCTTTCTTTCTTTCTTTTAAGGGAGAGCAGTCTTGGTGGACAATGTGTGATGATGATGCTATGAGAAATTGACATTGGACTAGTAATCAATATTCATTTGATGTTAAATTCTTCACGATTACCAGGTGACCAATATGGTGGCCCACCCCATCAGTGGCAACATAATGCTCCCCCTCCTTCAGATAATGTTGTCTCCGTGATGCAAAAGCCCCCGCCCCCGCCCCCAGGTGCATCACGACCACCCCAATTACCAGCTTATGCCCCTAAACCTTCTCCGCCGCCACCATTCCTGAGCAGCAGTAGTGGGTCTGGTTCCAATTATTCAGGTGGCGAAAATCCATTCCCGCCCCCTTCGCCTGGTATTGCATTGGGTTTCTCAAAGAGCACATTTACATACGAAGAGTTGATACGGGCAACAGATGGATTCTCTGATGCCAACCTCCTTGGACAAGGTGGATTTGGATATGTACACAAAGGAATCCTGCCGAACGGGAAGGAGGTGGCAATCAAGCAGCTAAAGGCAGGAAGTGGGCAGGGAGAACGAGAATTTCAAGCAGAAGTTGAGATCATCAGCCGAGTTCATCACAGGCATCTTGTTTCTCTGGTTGGATACTGCATCACTGGACAGCAGAGATTGCTTGTTTATGAATTTGTTCCAAACAATACGTTGGAACTTCACTTACATGGCAAGTTCTATTAGCTGCCTTTCGTGATTGCGGTTCCATTTACGTAGTTATTATTTGGCTTGACTAAATGTCTGGCGTTGGTTGCAAGAATCTGATAGATATATCTGCTGCAGGAAAAGGGCGACCTACTATGGATTGGCCCACGAGACTGAAAATTGCCTTGGGATCAGCAAAAGGACTGGCGTATCTCCATGAGGATTGTATGTGCTATGAATCTGGGCGTTTTTGATAAGGTGTGACTAAATTACCTGATCTTAAATGCTTATCGTAACTGTCTTTACGTCCAGGTCATCCAAAGATCATCCATCGAGATATCAAAGCTGCTAATATACTTCTGGATTTCAAGTTTGAAGCGAAGGTAAATAATTTCTTGTGTTGTTTTGCCATTTCTCATCGGTAATACTGATGTGAGTGCAACAACATTATCTTTTACTGCTCACTTTTTTTTAAAAAAAAAACATGGATATATATTACCTCAATGAAAAATGTCGTCTACGGCATGCTTTAGTGTTCTATAAATTGTCGTTTAGGGCAGAAGTGGTTGCTCTGTTTTCAATGCCATGAAAAATCAGATGTAGTTGTTTAGCAGCAACAGGAAGTTGAAGTCTCTTGTTTTACCAAATCACATCTTTTTAATTTTTGAATTTAAACTCAAATTTATATGAGATTTCTTATGATCTGATGTCAGGTTGCTGATTTTGGACTAGCAAAGTTTTCTTCTGATGTCAATACTCATGTTTCCACTCGAGTGATGGGGACTTTTGGGTGAGCGCAACTTCCTTTCAAATGTTCAACAAATTTTGAATGAAATTAAGAATTTATTCATGTATTTTTTATATTTTAACGTATCATATTCATAATGCTTCACAATCCAATATACTTGTCCGATCTTAGTTATAAGTCACGTTTTAAAAGGTCTATTTAGTTTTATTTATAAGTCATGGTGTAATTTTTTAGATAATATTCGAAAGGTATTTCTAAAATTATTCTTCACAAGAAAAAAAAAGTAATATAACATCACTCTTTGAAGTTGTTATGCAGGATATTTGAAATTCTAAACATTTTTATTCTTTATACTTTTTTTTATTGGTATTGATAAGGTTGGTAAAAATGACTTATAAAGAAGACCAAAAGAGTATAGACCAAGCTCTCCTTGTTCCATTGTTCACCTTACCCTGAAAAACTGTTGTAAATGTAGTCCTTTGTTGAAGCTGCTTGACGCTTTGCTTCTCCACTATAGATTTTTTGCCTACGATTAACTGGTATAATAATTAAATAGTTGTCAAAGCCACTATATTGTTTTGCTTTGTATATTTATATATTTAACATGATCTCACATTGATTGCTGCTAAAGGTATCTGGCTCCAGAATATGCTTCTAGTGGGAAACTCACAGACAAATCAGATGTTTTCTCGTTTGGGGTCATGCTCCTGGAGCTAATTACTGGACATCGACCGGTTGACACAACTCATACTTTCATGGAGGATAGTCTGGTAGAATGGGTCAGTATTTTGATGATCCAACTTTCTGTATAGATCACTTGCATGCTCGCAAAATGAATTTTTTCCCTTGAAAGAGAAACGCGCTCTGAAGCAAACTTTGAGTTGAATGTTCATCTCTTGTTATCACAGGCAAGGCCTTTGCTTATCCGTGCTTTGGAAGATCATAATTTTGATTCGCTTGTTGATCCAAGGCTCAAAGATGAATATGACCCCAATGAAATGACTCGCATGGTTGCATGTGCAGCAGCCTGCACCCGTCATTCAGCACGTCATAGGCCAAAAGTGAGCCAGGTAAATCAGTGTTTCCAGGTTCACACTTGTGATTGACCGATACCTAGAGCAGTTTCTCCTAAGGAAGCCAGTTATGGTTTATATTTGGCACCTTAAAGTTATAGGGCTTGCCAGTGAGTGTACAATGCGAAATTATGTCAAGTGCAATGTTGTCATCGTGCTGCTACTTAAGCCCTCCTGTACTAAATAATCGAGTTCAGAGTACTGTGTGCTCTTTGCAACAATGCTTCTAACAACTCCCACAATTTGAATGTCATAGGTTGTTCGTGCTCTGGAAGGTGACATGTCTCTATCAGATCTTAACGAAGGAATTAAACCTGGACACAGCTCTGTCTACAGTTTCCGAGGAAGCTCTGATTATGACACTGCACAATACAAGGAAGACATGAAAAAATTCAGGAAAATGGCTTTGGGAACCCAGGAGCTTGGCGGGAGCAGTGAATACAGTGCACCTACGAGTGACAACAGCTTATTCCCATCTGGCTCCAGCAGTGAAGGCCAGAGCCGTCAGACCACCCGGGAAATGGAAGTGAGAAAGACGAATAACCACCAAGAAGGTTACAGTGGAAGCTCTTGACAACTATTTGCTTTTACCATGTATAAATCTATATCCTTTAAGTTGATTTTAAATCTGTGTTTTGACTGACCTATTCTGGGCGAATAACCAAATTATTTTTCGAAGATTGTCACTTTAAAATTCTATTGATCAGGTTATATAGTATACACATAACAAAGTAACGTTAGTTCTATTCTTTCATTTGTTCATTGCTTGGATTGAAATGCATCTTCATGTTCATTTGGCAATTATCTTGGCAATTGTACTTAATATGCTCACAAAAAAAAGGAGATTAATGAAGAATATACTGATAATAATGCTTTGAGTCTTATCAATCTTGAAAATCCTTGAGGAAAGAACGTGTGAGACATTAATAGAATATATTACAACTTATTCACCAAAAAAAAAAAAGAACATATTACAGCTCTCGATATTCCGAGACGACACAAGGGTTCATCCTCATCAGTGAACTTACATACATGGGAGAATCATAGGCGGGGACCAAACAACAACATTACTCATAATGACTCTATTTTCGTAAATTATAAACAGGGACCTTGGGCTCATCTCATGTACGTGCGTCTTGTGACCAAAATGCTTTTCAATGTTTAAATATGTTTTAAGACCCCAACGACCAGGCGAATTGGTTGAACGACCGCTCGAATACGAAAGCAATTTAGTTTGATTCATTAACTCATTTTGGATCAATTTGAACCGGATGGTTTTGATAGAACTAGGATTAACCCGAAATCTGGAGCAATTGGACTGTTTTTCTTTTTTAAAAAAAAAACTTTTATTTTAATAATAAAAAATTAATTCAATTTAATAATATTAATGTCAACTTACTTCTAAGTTATTATAGTAAAATTTTAAGTGCATAATTTATTTATTGACATTTTATGAATGAAAGCATAAAAAAAATTGAAAACTCCTCTGTTTTAAAAGGACAAATACGATGAATAAGATGCGTGTGTGTAAAAATGAGAAAATTAAAACTTAATACTCCCTCTACTCCTATTTATAAGATAAAGGAAAGGTTTTTTATCTTATTTATAAGTTATATTATTAAATTTTCATCACAAATTTTTTTTATTCTTTATTTAAAATTGGAATGAAAAAATATGTTGTTAACATATATATATATATATATATATTTAATCGAGATAAAGTTGAGAATGTACTAAATTTTTAGATAAAATTAATAAAGTTTAAAGTTTTTTTATTCCAATAAAATATGTAAAAAGTAATTTATAAATAAGACTAAATGAATATATTATGACCCAACAACTCTAAGTCAAGAATGATATCGTCAATATTTTATTTTAAATTAATATTTTATTTATATGCATGCATATAAGTATTGTTTTTTATTTAATAATTATGTCATCTATACTATCACTAGTTTAATGAGTTAAATTATGGAAAATTATACTGACTTTTATGGTTTGTAGTTTGATGCAATTTTTAGAACATTAATTTAATAGCCACACACAGAGTATAAGTGTCACCCCCAAATCTAACACTCAATTTCATGATGTGCCATTAATTCAAAAACTTACTGTACCAGAATTTTTTCAAGAAATGTCACATAAATAAAATTGAAAAGTATCTTTCAAATTCAGCACTCAATTTTAAAATAATTCATTTGTTCAACAATTTAATAGTCACATAAATGAAATCTGAAAATATCACTCCCAAATTTAGCACTCAATTTTGAATCTCGCAGTTTCATAAAAGGACCAAAGAGCTTATGAATAATTACAGAAATTAGAGGTCTTTATTTAATTGAGAATCAATGAGCAAATATGACCTTAAATTATTGCTCAAAAATCACCCTGAACTCTAAAATTTTAAATTTATAATAAAATAAACATTGACTATTAACTTTTTTAACACCATTATTATCCACACAGGTACTATAACAATCAGGGTTAAATTTATAGGGAAATAAACATTAAACAGTATTTGCATGAACAGTAACAGTATTAAAAAGTTAACAGTCAGGGTTTATTTTGATATAGATTTAAAAGTTTAGAGTTTATTTTGTATATTTTAAGAGTTTAAGGTTCAAGACAATTTTCAAGCAAGAGTTTAAGATCCTATTTACTCATTAATCCTTTAATTAATTTCATTATTTAGTCCCGGTTTCTAATTCTCCCTATTTGTTGGCCAGGTACTTATTATAAAATCTTCTCCTTTGGGTCCCGTTGATAAATTACTTACAACTTTCTTTTATCAAATCAATAAAAACATTAAAATTTATTAACATCAATTTGTCTAAAAATATTTAAAAAAATTAACTTTATACTTATTAATATATATCCTTTAATTTAATTAAAAAGATATACATACTTTAATAACGTATTTTTTTCCTAACATTTAAAGAAAATAAATAGAAAATTTATGACAAAAAGTCAATGATATAGTTTTATAAATATGACAAAAAGATTATTCTCCCTCAACATAGGAAGGATTAAATTGTTACTTCTTGTCTACCATATTAAATTCATTTAAGTAAAATAAAGACACATTAAATTATTTAATATTATTAAATAGAATAGTTGTCCAAAAGACTCAATCCAATTCTAGAAGGAAAGGCCATGCTTAATGGCTCTCTCGCAGCCTCAATTGAAAATTTCAAACTCTAGAGCCTCATTTGGTATCATTGAAATAGGAAGAAGGAAATGGAATTGAAAATAAAATCTTGATGCGAATGCGTTTGATTGGCTAGAGTTGTGATTCCCAAGGAATCCAATTCTAGCAAAAATGATGGAATCCGATTCTTTCACAAATTCTATGGAATGAAGGTGAATTTCATGGAATTTATCCCTTCAGACCTCAATACCCTCTATTTCAATGCTTTAATCTCGACGTCGCATACCCTTGTCTTCTTGTCACCTTTCTATTGCCCTAGCGACTCCTCCACCACTACTCCCTATCTTCGATAGTCAATGTGAGGTGGCATCATCTTCCTTGTTGTGTGCGACAACTCCCATCACAGCAATTGCTAGTGGTAACACTAACAACAAAGACGATGTTGCTCTAATCTAATGGTGGCAACCCGACATGGTTCAAGGACAATCACCCGCATTGAAGGAGCCATCACCCTGCATTCTCATCGGCACTAAAGGATCCATCACTGTGCGTTCTCGCTGACAATGAAGGACCTATCAAAGAAGATGCAACAATCTGAGATTGAAGAATATGCAACAAGAAATGGAATAGTTGGAGATTAATTTTTTTTACTTTTGAAAAGGGCACTATGGTCTTTTATTATTTTAAATACCTATACTTATTGAAATTATAACAGGATTCTATCTTCATACCAAACATATTTTTAAAATTCAATTATATTTCAATTCTAATTTCAATTTTAATTCCATTAAAAACTCTTTTATCATACCAAACGAGGCCTAAATTTTTCTCACAAGTGGACAAGCCTCTCTGCCACTCCATTCTCCTTTAAATTTCTTATACAATACCAGCATGGCCACACTTTAACCAGTTATATTGTTAATTGTTAATTGAATATTTTGTAATAATATTTTATTAAAAAGTAAAATAAGTTGTTAATAATTCTAAAAAATTATCACTTATTTACATGTCATTCTATTAAATTTTCCCAAAAAAAAATTCAAGGCAATAATGATTAATTTAAGACATGTTATCATTAGTAGTATCAGAAAAATCAACTTACAACTCCAGAGCATATGGATAATAATTTAATAAAATATTAGAATTTAGCCCACCCCACATGAGATGCACAAATATATTAAATGTATATCTTATTTGAAGGGCATGGAGAAAAAGGGAGAGAAAATTTCAATGACTTCACTTCAAAATAAGATGGATAGGTGGAATTATAGGATGAGGAAAATGAAATCAAAACATTGAATTAAATTTAAATTGAGATCAAAAGATTTGGAAATCTAAAATAAAAACATCTTTTAATAAATTGGTTTAAAAGTTTACTACTCTCGTCCCATGATTTGCAACTTGCAATCCTCAAAATAGCTATTACGATTTTGATTCAAAAATTTATAAAAAAAAAACTTGATAAATATAACATGACTTGAAAATAATTTTCCTTCACAAATTATTGAATATAACTTGAAAATTGGTATTTTCATAGTTGTAAATTATGAAATGAGAGTAACAAATTTTTAAACCAATTTACTAATCAAGATTTTTTAATCCTTTTTTTGAATTTTCAAATCTTTTAATGTTTATTGAAATTTAATTTAATATATCCTTTAATGTCATTCCCCCTATAAGATTTTAGTAGATAGAAGATATAAAAAGAAAAAGTAAACATAGGTGAAGAGAAAATGGTAAAAAAAATCATTTAAAATAGTTTGAATATATATATATATATATATATAAGGTCATGGAAGATATCAATAAAAAGAGTAAGGTAAATAGTCTTAAATTTTATAAAAAAAATATGAGAAGATTGAACAGAATACTCATAAAAATTAGATGAAGTATCTAAAAGTGTGGTTATTGATAGAGTACAGTAATTTTGTACAATTCGTATAATTAGCTAGCTTCACCCAAAAGAACAAAAATTGCTGCTGTGGTGGTTACTTTTTGAAACGTGTTGCTTGGTTCTGATGGGCGATAGTTGACTCCATATAAGTCTGTAATGCAATGCAGGCTAGTCACCAGATAGTGATAGGGTTATCGGTATAATCAGAAAGAGCATCTGTCACAGAAGAGGATGATCAAATTTATAGGGTTTGAGTTTGACACATTCCATAAATTCTTTAGAATTTGATGGACCCTATATGGCCATATCATCATTAAACTATGGGAGAATTATGTTAAAATTTTACATTAAAAAATAAATTATTATAAAATTTATTAATAACTGAATTAAAAAAAATCAATTCCTTATGTTATCAATGACCTTTATTCAGATTATTTAATTATTAATAAATTTTATAATAATTAATTCTTTTGTCCTGTATATAATTTTTTCAGAAACTTTCTCTATGTGAGTTCACAGTCACCTCTTCAACCAACGCACATCTTCCAAAAATCTAATCCCCAACTCCAAGTGGCCAAGTGTGCTTTTTTCTCCCCCGGTGGACACTTCACGGCACATTCTAGCGTTCTTCTTGCGGTGACTTTAATGCTATTATTTTTTTGACATCACTGAAACTTGCTTAGAAGTGTCATATTTATTTATTAATA